TCCCACACAATCAGAGAAATATCTGATCAGCGATCATGCACACAACTTCACCACAGGATTCCATATTTCAGTACGTAAGTCAGCTGAAAACAGTATGTTCAACACATTCCAACCAAGTCCACTTTTTGGCCCCCGGTGTCACTGTATTTCCCTCCCCTACCTCCCAATGACTCACAGCCCCAATGGCAGGAAACACTGAAAGAAGTCAGTAGGTACTGAGACTTCAGGCTTCTTCCATCTCCAGGTCCAACCAAGTAACAAAACAAATGGAAAACAAAATAAATGGGAACTGTTGAAAAACACGCCTGTCCTACCTGTGTTTTTGCTTTTTGCTCAGAAGCAGCTGTGCTACTGAAGCACAGGTCTCTGCTTCCTTCACAGCATCTCTAAGTCTCCGGAAAAGATCATTCTCTGGATATTTCCTGTCTTCAGCATCCTCCAACATTACTCTCAGCTCGATCACATCTGTAAGAACAGTACATAAATAATTTGTATGCAAAACCAAAAGAGATTTTAGAGTGCTTCAAAGGCCCTCAATCAAGGTTCCAACAGGCTAGTTCAATTTCAGATGCATAATGGTGAGTTGCATTACACACTCAGATTAGCCGATTTCTTTTTTCTACTGAACAATACACAGTGTTTGACTCATTACATGAGAACACAGAACAGATGTGGGAGTTTCAGGACATCCTACTATGAACGATAGAAGTCTGACCTTTCTTGTGGTTGAGATTGGCAGACAGAGCCTCTGTAACTCTACTGACCCAAGTGTCATAAGACTGTGCTCTAACTTTCACTCCATAGAGCAAAGAAGGAAGGTCTTCTAGGGGGTACCGGTACCTGGAGACATGGAAGGAAAATGCAGTAGTATTAATACCCATAGGAAAGCCAGGAAACTGCTTACACTAAGTTTTTCCAGCTACAACAAGGCCAGAAAGACAGAACATGTATAATACCTGCTGCCTTGAAACCAAGAAACAAGCAAAGAAAATAAAAATACTCCTTAAATAAAGGAAGAGAGAAGTGTGGCCAAAAGTTTTATTTGGTCACTCGTCTCCAGCAAACTACTGGATATGGACAAAAAGTGGAAGGGGAAAAAAAAAAATAAAATCCTTGTGTACCTTAGACACTTCTTCTGCATGGGACATGGACATAAATCAGACGGATGGTATAAGCATACCAGACGCTCAGGATTACAGGAACATGTAAGAGCTGACAAGAAGCACGTGGTTCTGCAAGCTGTGCACTGACGCTCATCATCTGGAACCAGTTCAAACACCTCTTCTTCAGACATCAACACTCCCTGGGGGGAAAAAAAAAAAAAACAACATAGACACTTGCTAAAAACTCTAATCCAGGCTGGGGGAGGGGGAAGCAAAAGTTCTTTTGCAAGCAAAGTAAAAGAGTTGCCTTATTACTCACCATCTGTACCACAGACTCCCTTAACCGTGTCTCTTCCTCTATCATTAGAGTCATCTCCTTGCAGACCATCGCAGCCAGCCCAACATCCAAGCACTCTGGATCTGCAGCCATCTTGAAGAGCAGCTCTTCGTGGGAGAAAACACAGTGACGTCCCAGCCTTCGGTAATGACTCACACACTGGCGTCCAATGGGAAGCTACAAAAAACCACAACATCTATCACTCTGGGAAAAGATGTTTCAAGGTTCTCTTAGTTCCCACTTTCCTTCCTTTGACAAAACCTGGGGAAAGACTGAGACTACCTTATGGGACAGAGCCAATTATAACAACCTCAGGTCATCTCACGGATGAGGACAGAGAGGATATCCTGCTGGGGTGGCTTCTGACATGATCTTATGGGCTCTAACTTCCAGACACAAGTTTAAAAGTTGTCCAAAGCACTTTTTACTTCCAGTGCAAAGAAACTGGCCCCAAAAGGAAGTCACGTGGTCTACACTAAGGCGAATGCATTGCCCTCCGTGTATTACCATGCTTGGACACAGACTTTAAACACAGGATGCCTAGAGTTAACCAAAACTGATACTGCTCATTTTGTGTCTTTTAAAGCAAAAAAGTCAAAACACTGATGAATTTGCTACAGAGATTTCTGGTTACATTTCGCACAAGCAAAGGCAATTTCACATGACTGGTGTGAGTTTAGCAGTTTTTCACAGAGGCTATACACAGACTGCATCAGCAGCACAGGAGAAAAGAACACTGACACACCGTCAATCCTGCAGACAGTTTTCCTGATGAATGAATACAATGCTTTGATTAAGGATTGAAATTCCTATTTGAAGGTAACAGAAAAGAAGTTAGAGGTAAACTACAGATGAGACATAACTTCCAACTGTAAACCCTGGAGAGTGATAGGACACACTTCTGACAACTTACTGAAGAAGTCACATAAGCTATGCTGTGGTGTGGCATGGCTATTAGAACCAGCACTTAGATAATTAAAATATGCAATAAGCTGGCCCAAAAGTAGAGCAAAAGATTTATGTGCCCATCTCCAGCATTCAAATGACAACAGCTGTTCAGGACAGTACATTATCTGTATCAAATTCAGAAAGAGGCACCACAGAAATACTAACCAAAGGTACGGTGAGATGTCACTTTTTGGTTAGATTAAACCTTAAAAAGGAAGACCACATGCCAAAGTTTCAGTTTGAAGCCACTTACACTTACTTGTTCACCAAAATTCTTTTGTGTAACCAAAACTCACGTTGGTCTTTTAACTGTTCTACCAGGAACTACAAACATAAAACATACAATGTAACATAGGACTGTTCTTCAGATAATGAAGTTACCAACACACTCCTTGCAAAGGCGACTCAGCAGAGTCACAGCAAACATATACAAAAGTACAGACCCAGTCAGCAGTGCAGAAGTTCACAGCTTCAGCGAAGTTATATCCCTGGTTAAAACCAGAGTGATAGGCACGAGGAAAGGTCACAACAAACTCTCCAGCACACTGATTGGTCCTGTATACCTAATACAAGTGAGGATAAAGCAAAACCAGAAAAAAAGTGAAACTTGCAACTAAGTTTCAGACACAATTACAAGACATTTGAACACCACCTTTACCTAAAGAGCACTCCAGGCAACGTGGCCACCCCAAAAGTGGCAAGAATTGGTTCTGTCGTCTTCAAGTGAATGCTCAATTTCTATCCTTACTCAAAGAAGCTGAGCATACAAGCCAAGAAATTTTTGAAAATTCTCTTTATGAATCCCAAAAGGCATGTTTGTCTATCACTATTTAATCCATTGCACCACAAAGTGCACAAACTTCTGGAAACAGTTTATGGTTTGCTTTGTTGGGGTATCTGCCCAGAAAGCAATTTATCCTAAGACAAAAGCAAATGATAGTGACTGCTGCTTAAAGGTCTGCAGTCAATTATGTTACAAAAAAGCATTTTGTAATGCTGAGATTTCTACTGAACATAAGACAAGTATTTTACTGTCAAAAGATACTAAAAGTGTTCACAGGCAAACTTGCTGCTATGGCAGGGTAGAGGGTTTTTTTAAATAAAAAATTAAATGTAACACACAATGTACACTTGTTCCAGAAGGTATTTTATCTGAGAAGCTCGGCACACTCACTTCTGATATACAATAATCTAAATTTCATGGTGAGTCTACAGAAGGTTCTAGAAAATAGCTTTAAAAAACACCCTACAACTAATGAATTGAATATGTAAATGTTCACCATAAAAATTCTTCAGAGTTCTGCCCAACCATTGTTGCACAAACCTGGCACAGAATGAAAGGAGAGCGCATAGGAGTGCTCTGTGTCAAAAATGCTCATGTGCTACTCACTGGTACACCATGTTCCATCAGCACGTTGGGGTTCATAATAGTGACCAGCTGATGCAGGAGATCAGGCTGGGATTCAAAGAGCTCAGGAGCCAATTCCTTCATCACGTCCTCTAGCTGCTCTGCTGCATGAGAGGGCACGCCGTACCACGTCTTTGGCTCTCCCCTAACAAAACACAACCACAGTAAGAAACATATTACTTAAAGGAAAGTAATGGTGCCACCCAGCTGCAAAGTAACACCTCAAATCCAGCACCACTGTCCAGGCAGGCCAAGTATTTTGCATAGACTCAAAAATTTCTTTAATGAGCAGATGCCTGCTTCAGGTTGTACCATTATGATCTGAAAAATCAATTACACTACAACACAATTATCAGCCAATATACCTGACAACAGATTTGCCATGACAAGCCTAATGTGGAAGATGATTGTCATTTATCATGTTCTAAGGGATTTCTTCCTCTAGGAAGAAGAAAGTTGGACTAATAAAACCTTGGCCATCACAGCTAACGTTTAAAAGAAAAGGTATCATGGTGATACTCCACTCAATTAGGCTCAGAGTAGCCCCAGCCAATATACCTGACAACAGATTTGCCATGACAAGCCTAATGTGGAAGATGATTGTCATTTATCATGTTCTAAGGGATTTCTTCCTCTAGGAAGAAGGAAGTTGGACTAATAAAACCTTGGCCATCACAGCTAACGTTTAAAAGAAAAGGTGATACTCCACTCAATTAGGCTCGGAGTAGCCCTATGCCTGAAACCAATGGAATAGTGTACCGGTTAAGCAGAAGTGGAAAGAATGAAACACCAGACAGTGTCATGAAATATAAGTAATCCTTCTAATACACATAACCAATTACTGAAAACCAGTGGTCCAGTAGACTCTTAAGATTAAAAAATGCCTATATAATGTGAATTTGTTAAGTATGAGGGAAGAAAAATATTAACAAGACCTAAACTAAACAGAAAATTACTTGAGAACGTACTATTCCAGTCCTTCCAGTCCTGTCTTAACTAAAATAAAACTGTAATGATCTAGAATCTATAGTGCTGAGTTTTGGGGCTTTTTTGGAGTTGTTTTTTTTTAATCTATTAAGAAGTATGAGCAGTAGTCTGCTGAAAAATCTGGAACCGTTTATATAACACTATTTAACTGTATTAATAACCTTGCCATCATCCACCCCAAAAGTCAGAGGAGCAGTGCGCTATCTGCTGCGGTTCCTACGGGCACCAGTGACACCTGCTGGTAGGAGACAGCTGTAACAACCACCCAGAAACAACCACCTTACACACTGCTAACAGCATGCTGAGGACAACTGAACTCTGAACAAAACGAATCCCTCTCCTGAGCCTGTGGGCGAGATCTGAGAAGCAAACCCGCTCCTCCAGAAACGTGCAGTCACAGCCTAAAGGCTATCAACTCATCCCTCCCAAACACGCAGTCACAGCCTAAAAGCTATCAACTCATCCCTCCCAGATGTACAAACAAGCTTCCTATTCTGCAGGGGTGCTGCCCGCAGCTCCCTCCTTCTCCTCTCCCCACTGTGTCTGAGCCTGACGAGCTGGGAAGACTGCAGTGCAAATACTCTGTCACGATTCTTCCTTTGAACACAAGAAGCTGAACACCAGAACTCTTCTGGGATTGTTCTGAAAGTCACAATTGCTTGCAGATCTTCCTTCTCCTGAACAGGAGTATTTCTGTGTGCACACAGATCTGTGGCGGAGCCATCGGCCCCGATGCCTGTGTAAGCTCACCAGGCAGCAGCCTCCAGCTGCCACACAGGGTATCCCCCTATACCAACTCCTAAAGCAGTGAACTCTAACTCCATTCAGAACCACAAGCTTTCTTAGACAAGTTGTGAGTCTGTAAAGCATGACTGGCAACACAAGAATTTCTCATCAGTTAATGAAAAACACCAAACAGCATAAACCAGTATCCGTCTTCTCTTTCCATCAGCCTCATTTAAGGATACAGACCGCTCATGACATTCAGCTTTTTGGTTAAAAATGCCATCAGCATGCGTAGGCATTTTCAGTTAAGAACTACAGGTTTACTGATGGCAAACAGGGCAGCCTAAGGCAGATGCGCAAAGCAGAGCTCATACCAGTGCAGGTAGTTGATGGAGTAGCTCCAATGGTCTTCAATATGCCAGCAGAACGAGGAGAAGCACATCCCGACGTACAGCCAAGGTACCTTCATGCCAGAGATATCTGCATTGATGTGAGCAAGGACTGATTGTTCCAGAATTGGCATGTTATTCAAGTTCCAACCAGAAAGTGCATAATCCTGCCAAAAACAAGAGGAGAAAATAATGAACAAATCAGAAGAACATAAGGACACCAACTCCAGAAAAGGAAAGTGCAAAGGAAGAGATCAGTCTATCTGTTCCTACAGCAGTGGTTAATATTCTGCAACAATGAAGCATCAAAACTAGGAATTAAATTCTTTAAACACCTTAGTCAGCAATTAATCAGACTAAGATTTATAGCCAGAGCCAGTATTTCAACACAGACAGCCCATCTTCTTTGGATCAAGGCTTATGTACTTCAGCTTTGATTCCCCACCCCCGTTTATAGGTTTCACATGTTTCTAGTGGAACAAAATACCAGCAACCCTAGCAGGAGAAGATAAAAGTCTTCAATAAAACCAAGTAACTTCAGATTGTATATAATGCAGTGAATCTTACGTTATTATTTCAGCTTTTTTAAGACCTGCTTTTCTGCACTGCAGTTCATCTTGAGTTTCTTTTACGTATAACTTTAGGAAGTTTCCTCAACACATTCCTACGCACTCGTTTCTGAGACGGCAGCGTCAGCAGTTAAGCAGTCCCACCTTTACTTTCATATACGGACAATTTGTACAAAAAAATGAGAATCCAAACACCCTATTTTAGAAGCTCACTACTGTGCTTTAACCTTAGTCTACCTTCCACCTTAAAAAAAAGCTGTTAGCACAGATTCACAGTCATTTTAGGCATATCCCATAGTTGCTGAAAGGACTGGTCACACCCCCATCTCAGCCACACGTTCCTGCTTTTTCCCTTGCTCTGACACTATAAAGACAATGCAGGGACTCAGGCAACCTAAGTGATCTGGCCAGAAAACATTTTTAATTACTACTTACCTACAAATAGATCAACAGGCAGTTCTGACTCACTAAGCAGCTACATAATCACTGCACAGCCAACAAAGGTAGAGGTAGGAAGGTATGGGTGGAAGACAATAGTGAGCAGGATTACCTCTTCTAGTGAGCAGTATAAATTGATCTGGGGCTGTGTCATCACAGAACCACACCTTTATTCTCATTTCATCAGAAGTTAAACATATAAGCAGCCAGAAAACTGATACGCTACAGTAAAGTCTGAGGGAAAACGGGCAATATACTTACCAGATGTTCTTTATAACACTTTCTGTAATTGGAAGCTGTACCTACATCTTCTCATTAATACAGTATGCACAGTCAGAGAAACAAGCCAATTCCAATTATTTTACTTTACCTATTACAAACCTCCTAGGGAGGTTTGAGTCAGGTTTCTGTAGCTAACACTACAACAGAAAGGTTCAGACCAAGAAAGAAAAAAAATCTTAGTCTCCTCATACTTGGACATACCGTAATAACTTGCTCACCTTTGCCACCTAAGATGAAGTGATGCAAAACAGGTGTGACTTAAACCATGAAAAGCAACTTAGCTATCAACAAACAGATCTGTAATAGCACCTAAAATATCAGATCAATGCCATGCTCAACAGGTATGTTAAGTGCATGCCAAAGCCTTAAGCAACTTCCTCGTGAAAAAAATCCATGCTGATTTCTGACCCAAGTTCTTAATGTAAAATCTTATGCAGAACAAAGAGTGAGGTCAGTTGCACATCCTATTCCTCCTCACCTCCTCCTCTGGCATCAGCTTTCGTCGGCCATCCTTCACTGGGAAGCCACTTCCAAAGTCCCTGGATGAGATATCAGCCCCATATTCCACAATGACATCTTCTTCTATGCTGCTCACCAGCCGCCAGAATTCTTTTTCTACGAGCTCAGTAGGAACCATCTGAAAGCAGAAAAGACGTTAGGGTATGTGCAGATAAGACCCAACCATAAAACTTATCATTCAAGCAGTAAATCATTACTAATCCCCCACGAATTTTCAAACATCAAGGTCACTCCCTCCCTCACCTCCATCTCTTCAAACTCGTACAGTTTGGTCTGTCTTCCTTAGTAGTGGCTGCAATAGGGTGCCACGTCATAAGGAAAGGAATGAACAAAAAAGAAGATGGGCTTACCAGGAGTACAGCTAAAAAGAAGAGGAGAAAGACAGACAGCAGAAGCCAAGCAGCAGAGTGAATAGCATGCAAAGTCCTAACTATTTCAGAGGATAATGACCAGAAGTTCTGAGTAACAGTAAGGAAATTCAGGTAAAGAGCTGAGTTCAAGAGTGTAGTCTTCATACAGCTCATTGCAACTCCTACTTAGACGCATTTATTTATGAAGGTTATTTTTAAAATAAGCTTTGTTGCTTGCTTTCCTCCATGCCCCAAAGTTGTACCGTAAACTGGAGTCCTTAAAAGGTAGAAGCTTTAGCAAGAACACCATAAATTACCAAGGAACCCTGAGAGGAGAAGGAGCTTGGGGCTGCATGCAGGCTGCAGGACAGTGGAATCTCGCAGAAGCATGCCAGAGCAGAAATGCCAGTTTTAAAAATGCTGCAATGCTGCTGAGATGCAGAACAAAAAACCCTCCCATTATTGGAGAGACTCAGTCTGTTGACTTGTCTACAAGGGAAAGACTGTAATGGGAAGGAAAGCAATGACATATCCTCTGAACAAACTACACCAAGACAAAAGGCACAGGAAGGGCAGAAAGACCCTTTTGCCACACAAGAACAAGATCCTCGGTTCAATTAATCAAAAAGGGCAAGAACTTAACTAAAGAATGGCCAATAAGCTACACCCTAACAAGGAATAAAGCCATCTATCCATCACAGGAAAAGGGTGAAACGAAGCTGAGAGGAGACCAGATGTCAGAAAGCTAAATCATTTGTTTACATGTTTGAAGCTTATGGTGCCTCTTTAAACAAAGCCAAGATGCCTCAGCAAAAATTCAGTATCAGCTGAAGCCTCTTCTCTTTCACCCCTGCAAGGAATCACAACAGAAGTCAAAACTCACATGGACCGGCATGTTGAAATAATCAGACTTGAAGTTATCAGCCATTTCACCAAAGCTCTGGAGAGTATATTCCCTGACAGCCTGTTCAAATCCAAAGGCCTCACGGGGTTTGTTGCATTCCTAGGAGACAGAACATAAAAATATTGTTCCCTGCAGCAGATCATGGCACAGTTACATTTTTAGCAGAAAAACCTAGTGTTTATCCAAGTCCTTAATAAGCACAGTAAGCTGTCGGTTTTGAGGAAGCCCTATCGCAACGGAAACAGAACAGAATTAATTGCACAGCAGCTAATCTAACACGGTAAACCCCAACTCTACACACTTCTGCTTTCCTGTTCAAAACTAAGTTTCATCATCTACTGCTGCCAGTCAGAGTAAGACAACGCACAAGCAGCTTAGAGAGCCTCATGACATTTCTTAGACATGCTGGACACAAGCACCCACAGAGTAACTGCACAGGAACGAATCCTGCAAACGCTTCGGTTTTAACAAGTCAGCAAACCATCAATTGGTTTGGCACTGTGAGAGGACACAGAAGGAGGAAGAAGGAAATTACAACAACGTAACACAGCTAACAACAGACCCCCATCCAGCTGACAGGAAATCTTCAAGTCTTACACTGTGTTACCCCCATTCATCCCAAGGGTGCAAAACATAGTGGTCTGTACTTCACCTACTCACCCCACCCGCTGTCTTTTCATCCCCCTTTCTATCAGACACACTGTTTATAGACACAAGACGTGTTTGAACACAAGCATGACACATAACTGACAGCTGTTCAGTCAAAGAAATGGGACTGGAGAGGAATTCAAAAGATCAGCAGTTTCTTTTTCTTCAGGAGGAACTGATAAATGTTGGGCACAGTCTAAGGACAAAGTAGTTCTTAAGGGGAGCCTGCAACAGAGAACCTCCAACATCTGTAAGCACTGTCAGCCTACGCTGACCTGAATACACAGAGAGCGCCCTTACCCTGTTCTTCCCAGCCCCCTACTGTTAACTTTACATTAAGCATCTGTGGTACAATTAACACTTAAAGTAAAAAGTGAAGTAAAAAGCACCACTGAGCATTTCAAATATCTTTCTGCTGTTATTTGTTTGCTCTCCATTACATAACACAGCTATTTTTTTCCCCTTCTTCCTCTTGCTTTCAGTGTGTTTCCAGCATTTTTCAACTACTTTCTGTATTGTCTGCTAGTAAGAACTTATTTGGCACCTTAACTTTCCTGATTTTGTTCCTACATGTGTATTTTTTTTTCCTTGGGAATAACATATCCCTGGTTTTACTAGTAATAGTAGTAGTGACATTTCTTTTGAGTTTCCACATTCTTAAACCACTGCAGTCACTACATTTACCACTATGTTCACTAAATCACCTCCACACTGGATTGCTGTAGCTTGCTAATGCTCCTTTATTGCGCTCTCTTAAGGGAGCAATAAACAACCAGCTTAATCCACTCTGTAAGCAGTATCCCAAAGGCTTAGCTGCAACTTTTCCCTTGCCTGTAACCACGAAAAGTTCCGCCTCTCTCACAACGGCATTTGCCTGAGTTCATCTGACAATCTGATCTCTCTTGGTGGAGGGTTAGAGAGCAGCAAGCTGATCCAGCTCTTTATGGGGCTGCACAGCTACTCATACACCCCCATAAGGGAAACAGCAGAAGCCCACAGACAGGAAGGGTGTGGGGGGAAATGTGCATACACACACGTGTGTGACTACCCCTTCTGGGAAAAACACAGTCTAAACAGTTAAAGCCAGTCATGAAATTACAGATTTTAAAACAGCAAGCTTTTTTCCCCTCTGAATCCACCTATTGATGTCCTAAGCTTGAAAAACTGGTTTTCTTAAGACAAATGCCAAGCCAACAAATGGTGTCTGCTGTTTTCAGGCTGCTGATCAGTCACCTCTCGGAACTTGGTAGCTCTTCTTTTTTGAGTAATGACATTTAACTAGGTTCCACTTTCGGAACCTCAACAGATCCTTTTTTTAGTCTAAACCAAATCTAAAATAGCTACAAATTTTTAAATCAGTTCTTTCACTTTCTGCTACAAGCTTTTCTGAACTATAATGACTTCCCAATAACCAAAGCTCCCCGTTACGCCCGAATCACATACTTCGGTTACTTCACCATTTATAAAATATCTCCTTGTTATGCTGAAACACCTATCACAACCTCACTTCTCACTCTACTTTCCCACTGCCCACTCAGCAAATTGAGTTTCAGCTCTTAGCATACAAAACCCAAAGTTTTAGCTGTCACATGGCTGTATAATACACAAAGTTTATGCCTAAGCTCTAGAAGGAACATTTCTCTCTCCCTATGGCTCATCGACCAAGAGCAGCTGGAGATTCACAGCTCCCCTTGGCAATATTCCAAACAAAACTCTGGCTTCTACCCAGATGGAACAGCATTGAGCTGAACTGCTCTTCTGAACTTTCCAGGAACACGAGTATACATACAGAGCTTGAGCAGTTCTTGAACTGTACCTCAGCAACACACTTCGGACACCTCCAGTCACCCTTGGGTACATCAGGTAAAGGAGGAATCAAGCAAAAAGTGTGATAGCTGTCATCGCATCCATCACACAGTAGAAGTTTGTCCTCGTTATTTCCTCTGCCACAGAATAAGCAAACATACAGATCAACCTGTGGAGAAAAAACAAACAAAGCAAAGAAAGAAGTTACAGAAAGTTTCCTGATCCAGAACCTGCCTTCCTTAAACTAAGGATGCAGTCCTAAAGTCCGACACACGAACATCAACGCAGTCTCCTCTGGTTTTTGAGAAGCACTGATAATGAATGATTAAGCTTCAATTTCCCAAAGCATGAGGGGCAGGGGGTCTTTGGGTGCTGCAAAATAACTATACAGCTCAGTTGGACAGTTGTTTTCTAATATAACTCAAAAGTAGCACCTCATTTACGTTATTCTAAGGCAACAGAGTATGTTACAGTTTTTATGACCTCATGCTCTGCCTCTCTTTGGGCCTCTATCATGGAAAGCAATTCAGACTAAATCCTTACAAAGAGCACGTGGCTGAGGAACATCTCCAAAAACTCAGAAACATACATGCCATCATTTGCAACAGTACAGTGATTATCTTTGCAGTGGAAAAGAAGAGAGAACAAAACCCACAAACCTACAGATTTCAATCAAAAAATCCAAGCGGAAGGGAAGGAAGCTGCATGTAAAGGTACTAACTTCTTCCTGATTTTCTCCAAAATAAAGGATAAAAACTCCAAACGAGAAGAGAGCAGTATTAATCCCAATACAATAGCAAACAATCTTTACAGGTGTCTGTCCAAGATAATCTCTCAACAACAGCAACACTCACTGGGAGGGATTCTCAAGGACCAAAAGACAAAACCATACCAACACCTTTCAAATTTTCTTTGCTGTTGCTTCCTGTATTGTCCGAAGGACTTTTTTAATATAAACATCTAATACAGTACTAAGATCTGTATCAATCTAAGTGAAGAAACTGTGCATTACTTTATCACAGCTAAAAAATTATCTTATGTAGAAATTTTTAACATGAACATCATGAATAACACTTGCTCCAAATTCTGCTACAACTCCTGTCAGTCACTGGGTAATTCAGGCTTCGCATATTTCCTTCACACAGCTCAAAATAACACCAGAAGCAGTGGGATTGTTTTTTGGGGCCTGTTATTTTCATCAAGATGTCACAAAAACATGTGGTTTTCAGCTGATCAGGTTCACAAAGTTGTGTAAATAATTGATGTCAACTCCATCTTAGTTACAACAGCCTATTTAGGCATGCAGCTTCCTGGCTATGAAACAATATACTCCTTATGATTGCTCAGTTTTCTTAAGAAAGAAAATTTTGAAATAATGCAGTTCTGTTGAGACATGTAATTTTCTCCTTTTAAAAAAAATCCACTCACTCACACTCATGGAGTATCATGGGTAGTTGTCTAGCACCACACTGCTTGCTCTTCTAGCAAGTATATAAAATCAGAGGGAGGGTACCTCAGCAGACATTTCCAGGTTCTCTTCCCAAAACTAAAAATACACTAAAACGGTGATGATAAGAGGAGGCTATTCTATCATACACACTAGGTACCTATCCCTGATAATACCTTCTTCTTCTCGCCAAATTCATATGCAATCCTTTTAATGTCAGCCCAAGCGATGATTTGCCAAATACAAAGACCACACTGAAATACATATTCACAAGCAGCAGCTCTGCAATTACACAATAACCACCAACAAGCCTGCCAGCCACGTAACAAAACACCGTAAGACTACAATTATATAGAGCTATATGTATGGGGGGGAGAGGAGAAAAAGGTGTATTTTATTTCACAGCTAGCATTTCACAAAAAGACAAATGGATAAGGAAGAGGTGTAAACACAACTGCAGCATAGTGGTTTTCAAACAAAAGTTGTATAAGGCTAATGTATCACCTGTGCACTTCAAAGATGGCTTTCCTTGAAGAGCTCTCATCGAAGTATACCAACAAAAATGTGGAATCAAACGGTACCAAGTCACAGAATTTCACAAGATTAACAGTTAGAGCACTACAGCTCCAAAATAGCACTTCTGCTGCTACAGTATTTTCATTTTCTCTTATAAACATGAGTAGATGGAAAGAGTAAACACACATCGTTTTCTATAAAGAAATGGAGGCTAGACAAAGTATTTTTAAATTCAAGCATACTTAAACAAGACTGTTCCAAACTTGCACAGCCTAGGAAGACTGTGTACTCAGAAGTACTAGTAAAATTAAAAAAAAAAAAAATTCAAGTCACACGAATTCTAACTTAGCTGCAATGGCACAATGATCTGTTTTTTTAAATATTCAACTTCTCCATTTTTTTTCCCCCCTTCCAGGAGGCATTTCCACATATAAAAATATGGTTACTAGAGACCTGTGGTTGCTTTGGCCTTCTATGGTTCAAATTTAAAATAAGCTCTTGTAAGTGTTCTCAGGCTAAGGAAACAAGGGCAGCTGAATTATTCGTGAGGACTAGTTCTTCAAAGGATACATCCTCATTCATGGCTGCGTGCACATGCTAAATTATGACACTTCAAAAGTAAAAAAGTCACATGCTACGAAAGACATGAACAACTACACACTGCTTTCCCATGGTCAAAACTTCACAGCACTGAACATTTCACTTTTCGCCTTCGGGGTTTCTCTTGCACACACTTGTACAACGACTAGTTTAAACTCAAAACAGAAAAGACACAAAAGCTGGAGTTGTTAAACTCCTGAAGTAGTGGAGCACCTCAAAATGCCTTTTAAGGAAAAGAAGTGGTATTGTAACCATTCTACAAAGAGGAGCTCAAATAGAAAGTGAGCTACTGAAGGCATGCAAGAAGCGTTTGGCAAAGCCTTCAAACCCACGATCAGCGAGTACCTTCATGTTGCAACATTTTTCCTGTCTGAAAGATTAAAACAGAAACCTAGAGCATGGATTATTTTTCAAAACACCGTTCATTCTTCCCATAACAGTATCATCTGCTGCAGTGTCCATCCATTTATCTATCTGGGGGTGGGAGCTGTTTTACAAAAGAAATCATAGTAAATCAATCCATTTCTTATCATCAGAAATCACAGCAAAGGAATCAAACTTACAAAGTTGACAGAAAGAGTCCCTTTGCGTTGCCTCATCTGCATTCCAAACGCTTCTGATCTGGTTCCCTTGCGTCTTCGTGTCACCTCATCTTGAAGTGAAATAAAGTGAAATATTAAGGATGTCACATCAAGACAGACTTAACTTGCAGCAACAACACAGATGCCCAGCCTGGTACCCTGTCTTTCATATCAGAAACTACCTGACAGTCCAAAGAAAGCAAAATTGCCTTGTTATACCTGGCCAGCCTAAAATAAACATATTTTGCTTATCCTTACAGGTGATCCAATTGCCCCAAAAAAGGAAGTGAATTACACTGCTAATTTGTGCATGTAGCTGGCAGGATGAGTTTCAGTATTGCTGAATGTGGTTTTCCCTTCCAGCCACTCTGTTCCTGTGACAGCTGCTTAATTGTTATTGTTACTATATAATACATAAAGAGCTGAAACTATGCCAAGTTCCATGAAGCACCCTGTAAATCTCTCATGAATGAAACACTAAAATACTTAGCTTTCTTTTTCCAGTTATAATGACTTGCTTACTTCTTAATCTTGTCTCTAGAGACAGGCAGAAAGATTTAACAGCCTCGTTACTTTACAAAGCCCAGGATTCCATTACCCTCTTTATCCTTTGCTCCCAATGCCAGGCCCATCATCTTGGGTCCAGCTCCAAAGATCTGTAGTTTCTTCAGTTCAGTATTTCTACTCATTTCTCCTGCCTCAGCCTGAAAATAAAAACAAGACCACATTAGCAAAAACCATCAGTATTTCCCCTCCAGGTCTCTTCATAATTTGTTTATACTCCACTTTCTCACAGCATTAGCTCATCGAGAGAAAGGAAACACAGGCATGAAAAGGTGATTTTCTGCTCCTAAAGCCAACGAACAAATGTAAATGGCATAAAAGACAGCATTTTTGCCTCAACTTTCCGAATTATTCCCCCTTCAGGATTATAGATAAACTACAGAGTCACCTATACAGCAAATAAGAGAACTAGGTTTGACATTTAGCAAAAAATAAATAAGAATGTCACAGCAGTGTTTTCCATAATTCACCACGATTCAGTCAAGTGCTTGGATGTTATCACACTGTTTCAACAGGATTCTTTTCTCGAGTAGACACATATGCACAAGATGTACGAGCTCCAACCTGCTTCCTTAAGCCTGGCTGCTCATGGGTTTATCTGTGAAATGTCAGGAGCACAACTCTTGAAATCTCAGCTACTCACGGTGCCCTTGCAACCTCAACATCAGACATGGAAAGATGCATTAGGAGACAACTCCATGGCCCTGCCAGCACTGTTACTGGAAACGTTCTGTTCAACTGAATTTCTTCCTGTTTCCCATTACTCACTTACCTCATCTACCCATATCACTGCCACTAACAGCGAAAAGAAACTCCACATTCTGCTTTTATCTGCAAGGCAATCACCTTGTTATTTTTCTTTACGTTGCCTCCTCACACTCTGAAAACCCTTTCTAAGCTGATATAAGCGGCCACTGAATTCTCATCAGTTGCAATCTTCCTCCTGCAATTCACTCATCTTAAAGGGTCTCAGCAAATCTAATTCCAGCAAGGCCATTCTCAAGTAACTTACTGATGATACTTCCCCTGTTACTTTCCAGTCACGGCCCGATGTGGCAGGCATGAAATAAGCCCCCTTGGGGTGACAAGCATTTCAGTTTTTAATCAATAAACCAAAAAAACCCAAAACCAACCCACCTTCAAAACAACCTCAGATGCACTTGCAATAAAGCTAGATATTTCCTTTTATTTAGTCTAAATCCATTGGTTTTCTAGCTTCCAGAACCTACCAAGAGAGATACCGTTTCCTAGGCATTATTACCCCACTGAATTTTTAGTGATATTTAGATTCCCTGTTCCTACTGTGAATGCAGCATGCTAACCGGCATCCTTCCAAACTGACTATTGCTGATTTTGACCATTTATGAGTTCTACATTGCTATTAATTTATTTTTGCTTTATATGTACGTCACCGACTTTGCAAGCCCGCTCTGAAACTGCATGCTGACTGGCAAATTTCTCATAAATTCCTCACCTTTTGGCTACCAAGCCATAAGGAAACACTGACTTCTTTGCTGTAGAGGAAAAGCCTACCACCTGGAAACTCGGCTCCCGTTTGAAATACGTCAACAGCTCGTCCATTCTCTGAACTAACAGAACCTAACAGAATCAACCCACGTTACATTTCTCAGCACAGTACAATTTTCCATTATTTCAGCAACATTTATGAGTGATCTCTACACTCTTCTCTCCTGTTACCGTGACCTAAGATAATTTTATCAATGATGCCTGAAAAATAATTTTGCTGTTATACTCACTAGAAGTCAATCATTGGCGTGCAGTAACCTCTCTTCAGTTTTATAGCTTTGTGTAAAAATGCATCACCCAAATATGTTTTCCTAACCCCATTGCCCAGATTTACCTGGATTCCTGTAAACCCAAGTGGATGCAATCCCTTCATGCTGAGGTGGAAAAGCCACACCGTTTTCAAAAACAACAGGTTGAATATTGAAATGGAAATGGTTTTTAAAAAGCAGATTCTGATATATCGTTATGGACACTACCAGGACACAGACAGTTTAAGGTGTGACTACCAAAAGCATTCAGAAGCCCCAATGAGCGGTTGTTCTGCTGTGCCCCTTAAGACTGCAAACTGCGAACACAGGGAAGCAGAAACATTATGTTTCTTGCCATTTTCTCATTGCTAACACCACAAAACTCCACCACACTTTTCCATTTTATTTTTTCCATACAAGCAAAATGAACTTTAGATTAAACTGCAATTCAATTCTCAGCTCCTCTTTTTTCCTGAAGGATGCAGACACATTTTTGTTTCTTCTACCTTCTCAGCTGAAAGCACAACCCAAAGGCTTTTCATGTACACAAGTGAATCCTAATAGCATGATCCAGTTACACTGGATTCACACACTATCTTTTTCTGGTGTCCTATCCTCACCAACTTTGAAACACCTGCATCCACACCCCTCCCACCCCTAATGCGCAAGACGAAAACAGTCACAACCAAAAATCAAAATATTTGCATGTTTTGGGCATTTGTCAGCATCTCCCAGAGTTCTTTTGTTTTACAAAATTATTGCCATAGAAGGAAATCTTTCGAATTAAAAAAAAGGAAGCTTATTTTATTAATTCTGCTATTCTGCAATCAACCAATTTGTAAAAGAAACCTGAAAGCAGGCATCCTACTTCCAATTGGTTTTAATTTTTCAGAAAAGACATTAAGTTAATATCCTTTTTAAAGACAGCACTTATTAACTTTTTTCCAGTACTGCATTCCTCTACTAGAAGTCATCATGATGTAACCTCATCAGACAAATCCCTTGCCAGTTAAAACACCCCCTGACAGACCCTCCATGAAGATATACTACTCTTTTCTAAGAAAGAAGTATTCTAAACTTAACCTTTGCTTAAGGAAATTCTCTTTTCCTAATCTGAATTCATTTCACTTTTTGTTGTCTTTTCCTTCACAAGCCTTTCGTAATTCAGTTGCCCTTACCTGTTTTTCATTTGTCATGGCTTTCTTCAGGGGAAAGGGAAAGAAGCATTAAGCTTATTTTTGAGCAGAATCTCTCATTGCCAAATTATTCTCTTCCTATTCAGAGACAATGTATTCAACTGACATTTGATTGTAGTATCCAAATATTTCCAACCCATCGTTCACAAAGGATAATCCTCATTCCCTATTTTCTTTCATTTTTCATTTTCTCTAAAAACTCAAACATTTGTTTTTTGAAAGTCTGCCACCCCCTTCTACTGCTGAGGATCTTTATTTACATCAGTAATTTCTGACTGCTATCCTTATGCTTTCTCATTCATCACCCATTAATAGGCAAGCCATCTGCAAAAAGAAGATGCAGAGTATTTTTTGAAGGCACTTCTAGCACTTTGAGGCAATCTACTGAGATGCACAGCTGAGCATAGCTGCCCATGCCCACTACCCAGGCACTGGACTACCCAGCACACTGCACACAAGTCATTCAGATGTTTCAGCTAGAGCAGAACGACATTTGTTTAGCAGGTTTTTACATTACGTGCACATTACCTGTTCTCAGGAGACTATCTAGACAATCTCTGGTACAATTCCAGGTAAGCACTTCAAACAGAGACTTGTCTACAATAAGGAGGTGCACTGAAATCTGGAACAATTCTTCAGCATTCCCCAGGATTATTTACACTTCTACCATTTGGAGCTCCCGAGGACAAATATCTATTTCTAAATACAGTTCCAGAGTTGACTTAAGAGTTATACACAGCTTCCAACACAGCCAAAAAAATACTTCTCCTGGCTGTGCGAGTAGGTTGAGTTTTTCCCGCATTAAAGAACTCATTTTGGACATTTTAATAACTGTAATGCTTAAAAGCCAGTGTGGCTACAGGCCTAGTAAAAGGCATTTAAATACATACATATATATATATTTACTTTTTGCAGATGATCTAAGTAAAATCACCCCTCTCGTTTCTGAAATGCAGCCCCTTTAAATGAAATGAAGCAGCCATACTGTGCCAGGATCACCATTTTTTCCAACAAGGAGAAGTAAGTACCACCATTATTCTACTGAAATTAGCAGGAGAAAAGATCGCACAGGATCTTAATAACATAGTGACACTTTTATACCATGTATGAGAGAAAGGTCATACTGGCATTATCCCACAGGATTTGTTCAAATCCAAATCAGAGTCACACATAACAAATGACTGCTTCAGTTCCTGTGGCGTTCTCATTTTTTCTGGATAGCTCACTAAGGGTATACGATTCGAGTGTGATGCATTGTTATACGGCTACGATAAATAACATCGCGTCAGCTTCAGGAATTTGAGAAAACAGACTAAGAAAAGGCAATTCAGTCTAAATCAGACACGACAACAGAGAAAAAGATGAAGGTTTCTTAAGGGTCCTCAAATATCTCAGTGACAAGAAAGATGGATTTAAAAATAGTAGTGTAACAGCATTTGAAAAAACACTATGGTGCTCAAAATAAGCGTGGCATAGAATGGCATCAAGCGAGTAGCAGGTTTGTTGCATCTAAATCCAGCTTTTGCCCGTGTTCCACTGGCTGGCCCGCAGGGAGCCATTAGACCTGCTGTGAAGCGCCTGAGGATGCTGCCTGCAACAGGTACCTTGGTCACAAGGTGAAGGCTTGAAAATGGTACAACGGAAGCAATGGAGCCAGCAGGACAAGCTTCCAAGATTACTTCCAAAGCTACAGCATTTAAACGGTGGTGATTCAGTTTGAGTTCAGATTTACCAGTGGGTACCTCCCAGGATTTAATATCACCTAGCAGAATACCAAAAGTTCCTATCACATCACTAATCCAGAAGAAAAACTGCTTTCCAGTATAAAAACTGTGGAAAACCCATACAATTCCAGCCATCACTGAGCATCTCCCCAGATATCTGTTTCATTTCTTCATTAAAAGTTTGTCCAGCTTGAGATAGTTAGTCCCAAGTGCAATTTCCACAATTAACACAGACTTACCTACACATATTTACACCTGTGTAACTACAGAGCTTGTTTGAACAAGTTTTTAAAAACCTTCTCAAACTTGGCACAAGCAGAACCTTCGACATCACTTCACAAATGGCTTTTTTAGCTGTGTAGTTTTCAGAGATATATTAACTGCAAAGGTACCCAGGCCACTTAATAAACAAACAGCAGCTTCTAAAAGTTTTCAGACAAACAGCGCCTCTGCCATACACGAACCAGGCCCCAGAGACATCCTTCTCTGGATTTTTTAACGAAGGCTGCTTCCTGGTGGTGCTTTTGAGCAGACTCCCACAGCGTGCAGGTTTTAGTCAGGACAGGTTGATTTTCTTCACAGTGGCTGGTAAGAGGCCATGGTTTTGGGTTTGCCCAGAGAATAGCACCGATAAGGTGTATTTTAGTTGGTGCTAAGGAGTGCTTGCACCAACTCAAGGTCTTTTTCAGCTTCTGATACTGCACCTGTGTTCCAAATTTTCTCATTACAAGCTGGGGAGGGTGGGGATAAGGACAGCTAACTCAAACTAACCAAAGGAGTATTTCATTCCATAGTATGTCACGCTCAGCACATAAACCAGGAGCAGGCCATGGGGCTACAGTTCTGTTGCTTGCTTGCTCGTTAGCTTGCTTGTTCATTAGTGAGCTGGTGGGTCGGTTGACCTTCCCAGTCATGCTGTCACTCATGGGACTCGCTTGGACTCTGCTACAATCGCTCTTGGGCTCTGACTCTCAGGCCTTCTGGCTCTTACTCTCACTACTCAGGACCTGGCTGTGTACTGGCCAGCGGGTGGTGGGCAATTGTATCATGGTTTATTTTCTATTATTTTAACTACTTACTAGTACTAGCATTGCTAATATTATTAGCGTCACTATAACATTCATTCATATTCCATTATTAAATAGTTCTTATCTCAATCCACAAGCTTCCTTGTCTTATGCTCTGATTATCCTCCTCCACTGGAGGAAGGGGGGAGGTGAGTGAGCGGGTGTGTGGTGCTTTATTGCTCGCCGAGGTGAAAGCACAACACAGCCAGACTAAGGCTGCTGCAAGGAGTAAGTGTTCTCTGTCCTTAAGAGCCAACTAACAGGGGTACCTGGGATTTGACACGCCTGGTTCTCTTCAGCACAACGTTCATTCTTGAAGCCTGCTTTGGGGAAGCCTGGGCATCTGAGCTGAGGTCCTCAGCCTCCACTTTTTCCTTAATGTCCAAGTTAGGCTTCTGGATGCCCTAGAAGATCAGAGCACAGGACACCAGCTGATTGATCAGGCAGTACTAATCATTCCAGTGTGTGAATCATGATGTTTGCTAGAAGACAGGGTGAGTGAAATCACACAGCATTACGCATTCCATTTGGACTAGAGACCAATTAATCCACGCACCCTTCAAATAAGGAAACTGAATCTCAATTGCCAGTTTATCGAGAAAGACATATTTCCAATTAATCCTATCTTTTGCCCTTCCCAATAGGGTTGGCCTCAGTCCTGAACAAAACTGCTATCAGAAAATAACTACACAAGGTCACGTGTTACAACGCCTAGTACTATTCTGTCACAGACACGTATGAGGGTTGTTCTAGGTTTGTTTACACAGCTAAAGCATCTAAAAGTGTAGGCCATACATCCCAGTTTTGTATGCAGTAAGAAGTAGCATTCCACATGCAGTCTGGTTCCCCTCTTCATATCCTGCAAGAGAATTGTCTCACCATAAGGCTGACCCCAGACTGGAAGAGCTCATAGGGGTATAAGATCCGTTCATAATGAGACTTGAGTAACGACCCTGTGCCTTTTCCTGGCAGGTAGCCAAGACGACTTGCCACTTTAGACCATTTCTTCTCTTTAGTGACTACTTCAAAGCCTCCTTTGCTGGCAACAATCTGAAACGCATAAATAAAGAAGTCAAGTCTTTTGAGCTGCTCTCACCACCTTGCACAAACCAAGAATCAATTAAAACAACCAAACATTAAAAGGTTCTATTAAAAAAAGTCAGAATTACAAATTTAGGGTTTTTTTCATGATGGACTAATATTTTAATAACTAAGCACTTACTTATCCTCGTTACTTAATATGTTTAACATGACAATTTTCCTAGTAAAGGTAAATTGTGTACTGTCCTAGACAGGAGGAGCCCAACAGTTTAAGATTTATGATGTGTTGGAAAGAATACAAAACCCACCATCAGAACAAACTGAAAAGCTAACTCCCACCAGACTTGTACCCTGACGCAAAACACAAGTCTGGCCAGAAGCGAAGCCCATTCTAACAGACTCCAGGCAGAAGGGTCTGCTGGAGCTCACAGCTCCAGTTACAGAAACTCTCACAAAACCCTGAATGGAAGAGGGACTACTGTAAAAAGAGGAGAAACTGAATTTACCTTCCAATTAACTCAGTCCAGTTTTTACACCCAACTTCAATTGGTTTGAATCCAGTAACTCGCATAGAGAACTACCACTGCTTACACTAACATGTACATAAAATGAAAAATGACAGACCACTTGCCTCCAAGCAATGATCATAACTGAATATGAGTCGCTTCCTCAGAAACACTGGCCACATTTCCACTGCCTCTATTCCCTTTACAGTTTCATTGCCAAGCAGCTTAAAACCCAAATGGATTGTAATTTCATTTATATGATGGTAAGACTAATAGCATTTCTACAACAGCATAGTTTTGCATTATGTTTCTTTACACATGAGGACAAAATTTCATGCTTAATGTTTCACAGGCTGTTAGAAACCTCAATGCAAAAACATTTTGTAACCAGAGTGAAATTTATGGTTTATTTTTGAGACTGAAGTCAATTCAAAAGTCTAATTGTGACAGTGACAAATAGATTATAGAAGAAACCAGAATTAACTAATCAGAGATAGCTTCACTTAAAATATTATTGATCATTATTTTTCCTCATATTTACAGCAAAGTACTAGAAAAGCCATTTTAAATTAAACTATTCCTAAATTTCAACTTATCTTCAAAATGGTCATGAAAAATTGATTTCTGAAATTATCTATACATGAACAATTGCTCTAGAAACCACTAACTAAGCAAGCTTAGACCTGCATATCTGCAGTCAACCAAAATGTTCCAGCTCATAACAGTGACCCAGATATTTCCCAGTACCACTACAATATTCTGCATATCCCAGCAAACCCCCCCAGACACGAAAAGACATTTTATCACCTTTCCTCTGCAGTTTATCATCAATTTCAGACTGTCCAAAAGACTATGACTTCTTTCCTTAAAAATAACATCTATTCTTTTACTTACCTAAGAGAAAGAAATGTTGATGGGGAATGGAAACTGATAGTCTAACCTACAAGCATTCGAACGACCTTAATTTCTTACAAGAAAAAAATCTGCCTATTTATGTTAACAATCCATCCTTAGCAGGTAAGTTTATAACACTGCATGTATTTTACCAATACAAAAGCAAATTCCAACACAGATTTTATTTGTGTGCAAACCTTGAAAAAAACCCACAGCAAACATAAGTACAGTAGAATAAACTCCTAGCCAGCCTTCAGTCTAGCCTGGTTTGGAACTTAATTAGAATAATGATTCCAGAAGTTGACATTACAAACTCTCAAAGAAGCATGTTTATGTCATGTGGAGAACCTCTGCTGGGACAGAGGAGGGAGCAATTACAACAATTCACTACAGAATTGACAGGTCAAGAGCTGAACTGCATGCTTGTATACCACTGCCTTCTCAAAAACCACCTTAAACTGCTGCAGCTCCACATACATAAAAAAGGAGAACTAAATGCAAGCGGCCAGCTGACAACAGGATGTTCAGGCTGTACAGAATCCAACCAAAAGCAACTGATTTAACTGTGTTTGTCATGTCTGCCATAACCATTCCATTTAGAAATTTTCCTTCACTATGGCGTCGGTTTTTTCCACTCTCTCATTTAATCTCCGCATTAATGACATCACTGCCGTAAACATGTCTGCCATAACCATTCCATTTAGAAATTTTCCTTCACTATGGCGTCGGTTTTTTCCACTCATTTAATCTCCGTATTAATGACATCATTGCCGTAAAACAAGCCCTCCTTGTTGCCTGGCTTCTTGAGCTTGAATGAAAAACCAGGTCCCTCTGTGACCAAGGCCTACAACTGCTTACTCACCTTGCTCAGACCATAGAGATCCAGTATTTTTCTCTCCACCACAGGGATTTTTAAATTGGATCCTTGGAGTTCCCAAAATTTTGCTAACTGATCCAAGAAGTCCAGCTTCACTCTCGTCATTGCCTGCAATCAATAAAGGAACACAAACGCTTATGTCCCAGAACAAGCGTGACAATACCTTACCGTCCCGAGAAAAAACGTGACAAGTTTTCACAGCGTTTACACGTTCAACGAGCAGCTTGGCAATTGAGGGATTTCTCAGTTGTGCAAAAAAAGCCAACCTAGAAATACTGATGAAAAAGATCTTTTCAAAGAGAAAACTGTATATTCTTATCTCTCTGTATTCATGAGCCTATAAACCAAACTCCTATCTAACAATTCCTTGGTTTGAAACCAAAATGCGTACTTAAAAAAAAAATCAGCATTCCAGGGAGAAACACAAGATCAATTATTAACATACCCACTGGGGAGGAGGGGGAGAGTTACAAACAGTTTTTATATGTGCCTTAACCATGCAGAAGGGCCTCCTCCCTTGAGCATTTTCTGGAGTACTCGAATCACCTCCCATAAGGAGACCCATTTACAAGCCAAATGATACAGAGCGTTTTGGTATAGGAACAGAGCAAGGCTTTGAGAAATGCTGCGGAGAGAAGGAAAGACCAGAACAGAATGGGGCTCATACTGCTCTCAAGAAAGCTCACATACATTTCTGAATCATAACATTAACCAACTATAATAAATCTATAAAAAAACAGTTCGGTTTAAGGCTTAAAGGCATTATTAAGACAGTATAAGGTAACCAGAGACTTCAGAACAGCAGTAAATGTTTTAAGGAAAAATAAAAGCATTGCCCGTGGAGCTCTGAAGGCTAGACACTGGCTGCTCTTACGACACAACATGGTACTTGGCATTCATTTTAGACATTTCCAGTTGAATGTGAAAAAGTCTTGTGGTTATTTTGAGTAGTAAAATAAAAACCAGACTTTTCTCGAAGCCATGGAGAGTTATTTTATATGAACTCTGCCACTGCCAAGTGTAAACACTGATGTGGTCTATGGGTCTTCTAAAGTCTCCCCCCCCCTCCAGAAACCTGCCAAGATGCACATCTCGAGCGAGGAGACCTACTGCTTTGCCTGCAAACCCGAAACTGTACCAACAGTGGAAAAGCTCACCTCCAGTTCATTCAGGCGCTGAATTCGCGGAGTGAAACGAAAACTCTGTACTTCACACGCAAATGGAGGCTGCCAGTCCTAAACAGAGGCAGAAAGACACTTTATTGCTTCAAGACATTTCTCCCAAAATGCACAACCCAGAAGACCCTAACAATGTCTGAGTAAACAAGCTTCCCACAGTAAACGAGTTCCTCGGTACAACTGGTGACGTCATTTTCCAATGTTATGACATTCTTCTGCTTGTAAAGTAACCTTCTTCCCACAGAATTTCACTTTGAAGGAAGAGATCCTCATGGAATTAAACATAAAAGAAAACCAGGTTCAAAGCATTTCAGTATGCATCGCCTCATACTGAGTTTAAATATGAGAGATGCCCTGTAGCTTGCTGGCCCTTTACTTCCTTTAAAACAAAGCAAAGTTCCATATATCCTGCACATTGCAAAATTCTCACCGTCAGCAGTGACGAACACCAAATAAAGCACATTACCACCCCTATAACTTTTTTTTCGTGTTCGTCTACAGTCATTTCAACAAAGATAAGAGCACTAGTCAGGAGTCCAGTTTTTTAACAGAAATGCAGCCTTAACGGCTTTCTGGACACGGTCAGCAGTCGGTTTCACCACAAGTGCCTCCCAGCCCCACCTCTGAAAACTGCGGTACAACATGAAAACAAGTATAATTCAGCAGTTTAGTAACTTTAAAGAAAGCTTAAGTTACAGTAGGTTGTCTACCTTACAACAGAGGAAGGACACCCCATTCCAGGTAGACAAGCCATACTAAATATTTATTATTTGCACTGCTGCAGCATACCAAGGCCTCAAAGCACAACCATAAAATATTTACAGCTTCTAATAACAGAAAAAAAGTAATAAATCAGTAAGCTTAGCATAAAGCCTCTGATTTAGCCCATATTGCAGGCTGCAAATCAACCTGACGCGCACCCTGCAAAACCCTGCAATGCAAACAGCTAAGTAATCATGGAGAAATACAAATGCACTCGGTGGCCAGGAAAGTTCTAGCTATTCTCAACGAACAGGATCTGGATCAGTTTCTCGTGGCCCATCAACCTATGCCATTCTGCTTATTTTAGAAAGGGCAGCCCCTTGGAGGTCAAGTTTTCACCATGTCATTAAACCAACTAAACAGATTCCAGCAACCCAGACAGGTCAGGAGAAGGAAGGATCATGAAATCTAATCAGCAGCCCATATCCGAGCTGTTCTCAGTTACATGCTTTATTGTCCCTTTTTTTCATCCTCTCTCTCAGTATTTTCGACTCTCTTATTTTAGGGCTACATTTAAAGTTTGTTTGTACTTTAATTACGAAGAGATCTAACCGCCTGTCGCCAAACTGCCCGATGTTCTTGTCTAAACGGTTTACCAGGTCACAGGGTGAGTCCTTATAAAACAATGATCAAGTCATCGGAGAGATTAAGCTCCTACCTTCTAAACTTCTCCGCGCAAACAGGTTGGCCACACTTCTATCAAGAGCTTAAAAATGATGTTTACAAACAACGACCCATCAAAAAGAAATACCCTCCCGCAGCAAACGCCCGATTTCCCCTACAATGCCCCCGTGGTTCTCACGAGCAGGCTGTTGGGGGTTTATCTGAGCAAGAAGAGCGTGAAGTTCCGACACCGCCACGCACTACCCAGCTTCTCACCTGCTCCAAAGCAGCCCCTGCCAAACCCAGCTGAGGCCAAAGACCACCCCGGTCCCTTGGTGTCCCTGGCACGGGCACCGAGGCCCATGGAAAGCGACACATGAAACCCCGGGCGAGCACCGGGCGTGGGGGAAGGGACTCCCCGGGTTCCCACCCC